ACCACAGCTCCAGTCACGATCCTGGCTAGAAACAAAAAGAACCTATGTGAGTCTGTCTGCTCCGGGCCCCCCATCCTGCAGTCCCAGCTGTTTCCACAGCTGGCAGGGTTCTCTGAGGTCAGATCCAAGGAGAGACGGCCCCTGCCTGACCTCCTGCCTCACCAGAGAAGCCCGGTTTTTTTACTTTGTGACATTCTAGATGGGAGAGTACCCGCCTTGAAAAGGCTCCACGCCACCCCTGAAGCCCGTACATGTGGTATGATTTTCTCAATACAAAACAAGACAAGACTATTTATTTGCAGAGAAACAAATTAACATTCCAATTCTCCACCTCTTCCAGAAACATTCTACCCACCCAGGGCCACATATGAGAGGTAAAAGTTTCATCTTTCAGGGCTCATCACTTGTCACCTTCCAGCAGGAAGCCTCCCAGTACCCCTCACCAGGAGGTTCTCTGCTTCCTCCTCCATCCAGCCTTGTGTTTAGAGCCAGCCACAGCACAGGGCAGGGCATGCCTTGACCTTCCGAACTGCCTAGAGCTCCCAGGGCTTGCAGGGACATCTGATGATGGCTGCCCTACGTGCAGCGACTGGGTGCTGGGGCAGCTGGGACCCAGGGTTCCGGAGATTTTAGGACCTGCAGTGAGCTCAGCCTGCTCCCCGCAAAAAGGAGCTTCAGTCCCTGGTTCTCATCAAGGAAGATAAGGTACAAAAATCAGCCTTAGTCCTCCAGTCATTCCCCAGCACCTCTTGAAGCTTTTAGCTCATGGCTCCTGACCTCCCCCTCTGTCCATCGCGGCTCTGATCTGTCTCGAGGTTTCCATGCCCACCTAGATGGCATTTGCAATATACTGCCATTGGGTTCTTACTCCCTGCTTCCGAGGGGACTCTCTGCCCCGCAACCCCTCTGTCATACCCTAGGCCTGTGCTCCCCACTATGCTAGCCAATAGTCTTGTGTGACTACTTAAATTCTAATGAATAAAAGTGAAATAAATTTTAAAACCTATTTCCAGGACCTGCCCCATGGCCTCAATCCCACACAACCAATTGCAGTTCAAAGTGTAACTCTAGCAACTTGAAAAACATACCAGGAAGGGGACGAGTAGATAGCATATGTTTACATTGCTGGATTCCCACATAGATGACCGTGATTCAAGTTCCTGACCCAGTGACTTAAAACTGAGGCGAGGCATGTATGCATGCATGCCCCAAATTCCCAACAGGAGACTAGAGACTTTCTGTCTCTCTGCCTTTCTTTGTCTCTATGGTGATCGCACGTGCTGTATAACAAACAAACAAACAAACAAACAAAAACATACCAGGTGGGCCACCAGGTGGCATGGTGATTAAAGCACTGGATCCCACATGGCTCTGTGGTTCGAGTCCAAACCCAATGGCCTGAAAAACACATCAGACCTCTGTGTGTATGTGCCCAAAATCCTGAGAAGAGAATGGAGGAGAAGGAATGGTGGCATCAGGTGATTTCTCACTTTTCCTCTCTCTGTCTCTCTCTGACGAGTACATGCACCCTATAGCAAAAACTCTTAAGAAACTGAAAACAAACCAACAAACACACTAAGCATTATATGTGCCCCAAATCCTAACAGGGTGGAGAGATGAAGGCGAAAGGATTGCAGCATGACCACATCCCATTGGGGGTTCCTTACTCCCTTTCCCTCTCTTTCTGTCTCCGGGGAGTACACATGTCCTCTGGCAACTAAAAAAAATAAACATACCAAAGCACATGCACACGAAAACAACAACAATACAGACTTCAGCTCCTGTCATACTAGCTGTGGCTCAAATGCTCAGTCGCCATGTGACTAGTGGCTGCAGCACTGGACGGCATGTGTCCATCAGCTCAGAAGTCTCCATTAGGCACTACTGCCCTAGACCTCATTACTGTACCCCTCCCTGTCAGCACCCAGCACCCCCAGAGTGTCTCTTAGGACCACCCTTTCCAGATTTCTGACTCTAATATAAGCCTTGGAGATGTTTCAGTCGTTCTGGAATTCCCAGTCTCTTAATTTTCTGGTACTGCTATAACAAATGGCAAACGCTGAGTGGCTTAAAATAGTAAGAATTCACCCTCATGGTTGTGGAGGCCGGTGGTCCATCATCAGGATGTCAGCAAGGCCATGCTGTCCCTGAAGATTCTACTAGAGGATCCACGCCCGCCTCTCCCTAGCTTCTGGTGATTGCCACGATCCTTGGCTTGCAGCAGAGCCATTCCCATCTCTGTCTCTATCTTCACATGGCCTTCTTCCCCGTGTGTCCCTGTGTCTCTTCTCCTCTTCTCATGTAGACACCAGTCATATTGTATGAAAGGCTCACTTTACTCCAGTATGACCTCATCTTGACTTGAACTCCAGAACTGCGAGAGAAGAAATCTCTGTTGTTTTACATCATTCAACTTGTGGTACTTGGTTACAGCAGTCCTAAGAATGAATGCACCTTTCCTTACCTGCCCTCCAGAACATGTTTTTTTTTCTCACTGTTCTTACCACCCCAGCCTCTCCTTGGTCTAATTTCATCTCCTTTCCCAGTCTTTGATCAACGTTGGTGTGTTTGGTGCTCAGTTCTCAGAGTCCCCCTCTGTTGTATCTCCTCCTCCCCCAGTCCCATTGCTTTAGGGAGCACCTTTATTCTCGTGACTTGCAGACGGGTATGCTCACTGCAGACCTACTCAGCATGCCCACTTGAGTATCCAAGAAGCACCTCAAATATAATGTGATCCCAGCTGCACTCTCATTTGCCCTCCCATACCTGTGTCTCCCAAGGTTGTCCAGTACAAGGAAACTCCATTCTGCAGCTCCAGCCAAGCAGCTCAGAGTATTCCTCATCTCCTTGTGCTTTCTCTCCTCCACAATCATTTATTAACAAATCCTGCTCATTCACCTTTAGAAACACCCAAAGCCTGACCATCCCTTATGACTCTGCCCCTTCCATCCTGGGCCAAGGACCCATATCTCTGAATGAGATGATTGCAAGAGCTTCCTACCTGGTCTTCCTGCCTTTGCTGTGGCCCCTGACTCTGTGCAAGCCAGCTTCCATCCTCTCAGCAGCTCATGCTGAACACTTTGGAGTCACCTTAACTCTTCTCTTTTTCTCTCATTCTACATGCAGGCTGTTAGCAAATCCTGTTGACTTTGCCTTCAATATATGTTCAGAGCCTGACCACTTGTCAGTACCTCTGTCATTGTCACCCTCGTCCACTGACACCTCTCATTGTTCAAGATCACTGGCATGAAACACAGAATGGAGCCCTACCTATTGACTGCTGTCATAAGGAATGAACAAAGGTATTGAGCTCAACTGTCTGTTTAAAACCCTTCAGTGGCCTCCTGGGACCCACAGGTAAAAATCCAAGCTCTTTAACGAGGATGGAATGAGCACTCCATGATCTGGCTTTTGCCTCCCTCTCTAACCTCATTACTGTCAATATCCAACTGTACTCCCATGGAGGACAAAAAGAAGCCACCCCCTGCTTATTCTTAGGCCTCTGATACTTTGCATGCCACATTCATACAAAGTTGCCAGGCCCTCTCACCTGACACATCCTCCAGGAAGCCTTCCCTGATCACACATTTCCAATCTCCTTCGGACACCTGGACTTCCACCTATATACTCAAGTGTGGGCACACTATACTCTTTCTACTACAGTATTTCCCACCATGCACTGCCAGTCTCTATCTCCTCCATGGGACTTTGAGCTCTCTAAGTCTAAGTGCCAAACATCATTCACTGCCGCCTCCCCCACAGACAGGCATAGGCCTGGATAGAGGCACCGAGAGAAACATAGGTCAAGAGTGGGTCTTTGCATATCAAAGGACACAATCAACAGAGTAAAAAGGCAACTTACAGAATAAGATTAAATATTTACAAATCATATATCTGATGAAGGGTTAACATCCAGAATGTATAAAGAAGTCCTACAACTCAACAACAACACAATAACCTGATTAGAAATGGGCAAAAGAGGAGCCATCAGATGACATAGTGGTTGAGTCGCTGGACTCTCACATGGTTGATGATGGCTCAAATCCTGGACCTGGAGGCTCGAAAGTCACACCAAGCATGTGACTCTGAGGACCCAAAATCCCAAGAGGAGAATGGAGGAGAAGGGATTGCAAGGTTACCACCTCCCTTGGGTGGTGATTTCTCATTTTCCCTCTCACCATCTCTCTCTGTCTCTCTTTGGCAAGCACATGCACCCTATGACCAAAACTTTTTTTAAAAAAAGGCAAAGGACTCATGTATGCATTTCTCAAAGAAGATATACAAATGGCCAACAAGAAAGCTTATGAAAAGATGCTTAATATCATTAATCATTAGGAAATAGAGACCTGCAGATAGCATAATGTTTACATCACTGGACTCCCTTGTAGTCGACCATGGTTCGAGTGCCGGACCCAGCGGCTTAAAATTCATGCGGGGCACATGTGCTCATGTGCCCAAAATCCTAAAAGGAGAATGGAGGAGAGGGGGATTTGCATTTTGGCCATCTCCTCTGGGGGGTGATTTCTCACTTTCTGTCTCTCTGTCTCTCTCTGTCTCTCCGGCAAGCACACCAATAGCAAGTGTCAGAAAGTATGTGGAGAAATTAGAACTCTTATGCATTATTGGTGAAAACATAAAACGGTACAGCTATTGTGGAAAACAATACGGCAGTTCCTTGGTACAGCTATTGTGGAAAACAATATGGCAGTTCCTCAAAAAAAAAAAAAATAGAATGATCCTGTTGCACTTCTCAGTATACACTCAAAAGAATTGAAAGCAGGATCTTAAAGAAATTATTTATGCACCCACATTCACAGCAGCGTTATTTTTAGCAGCAAAAGAGCAACCCAACAGCCCGTCAACAGATAAATGAGGAAACAAAATGAGGTGCGCACATACAATGGAATATTAGTTAGCCATACAAATGAAGGAAATTCTGACACATGGATTAGCCTTGAAGAGGTTAAGTGAAATAAGCCAGTCACAAAAGACAAATACTGGATGATTCCACTTACATGAGTGCCCTGATTAGTCAGATTCATAGAGATGGGAGGTAGAATAGTGTTAGGAGCTGGGGGAGAAGGAAACAGGGAGTTAGCATTTATGGTATAGAGTTGCAGCTCTGCAAGGTGAAGAGTGCTGGAGACAGACGGTGCTGAGGGTCACACAGCAGTGTGCATGCTCTTAAACTCCTGAGCTGTACACTTACAAATTGTTAAGATGGCACTTTTTTCTAACAACTTTAATTAATTAATTAATTAATTCGTTTATTTTATTTTAATTTGACCAGGGAGGGACAGAGAGAGAGAGAAAAAGCAAGCTGCCAGGGCCATAATTTGAACCGTGGTCAGCCATGCGGGAGTCCAACATCCCTAACCACCATGCCACCTGCCAGCCCTGGTACTTTTGTTAAAAAAAAAAGAATTATTTTATTTTACTTTATTTATTTATTTCTTTTAATTTGACCAGAGAGGAACATAGTGAGAGTGAAAGAGAGAGAAAGAGGAAAAGTAAGAAAGCAAGTTGCCAGGTCTGGTACTTGACCTGTGGTTGGCCATGTGGGAGTCCAGCACCATTAACCACCATGCCACCTACCAGTCCTGATGGTACTTTAAAAAATTCAATTAAAAAGGAGTATACCCTCTGCAGCCCTGTGCCCTGCTGGCCCCACTTAGAGGTGGGGGAGCTCTGCAAGGGTGTGTCGGGGTGGGAGAAGAATCAACCAGGCCCTGGAGTCACAAAGGAGGAGCACCTTGAGAAATGAAACTTACCCAGGTCATGGCAATGGGCAGGGAATGGCTAACAGGGCAAAGGGCAGGCAGTGGACCCTGACTGGCTGTGAGGCAGGCCTAAGCCAGCAGGCTGTTGTGAAAAGGCCAGCATGAATCTGTGCCTCCCAGTCGGATATGACCTGGCCCAGAGAGCCCCCTGAGAGTGGTAGAAACAAACCAACCAAGGCCAGCACTCAGAGGTGTGGTCCCTGTTCTCCCTCCAAGTCCCCTACCCTGATTCTGACAGTGCAGGTGTGGAAGAGACTCCGTCAGGGCTGAGTGCCTTCACACTGACCATTTAGGAGGCCGAGGGACTGGGGAGGATGGGGTGGTGAGAGGCCTAGCGGACTGGTGCCCAGGTCCCATTACCTGAAGTGGGGAACCAATTCTTGCCTCTGTTCTTGGGGTCAGAGCCAGGTCCATCTGACCCTTGAGGTGGCCCCCCAGGAATACAGGCACCAGAAGCCTCAGCCTCAACAGATGACTGGAACGGTTCATCTTCTTCTGGAAAACGAGAAGGGGGCACATCAGAGGGCATGAGGCCAAGGCCCACCCAGGATCCTCCTCTACTTCCCAAAGGAGATTCAGAGGCAGCCCCCCAGAGAGGTGACAGGGGGAGACCCAGCCACTGACTCATATTGACAGGTCCCCTCACTCTGCAGAGAAGGCTTCTCTCTGGGAAGGAGGGTGACTGGCACGGACACTGCAAGTCTATGGCAGCTCCGGGCCAGAGCCCAGAACCCCTCTCTCCCGTCACAGTTCTGCTTCCACCCAGCCACAGCCCTGGGCCACCCCATCCCCTGGAACATGCTCAAGGACACTCACCGTCACACTGAATTTCCTCCAGGAGGGCGTCAGCCACAACTCCATCCCCGTTTTCCAAGGCTCCAGCTGACATCTTGGTGGCAATGTGGGGCACGAGAAACATGGAGCCTAAGCCAGTCACTGTCTTTCACGGGGACACCACGTGTAGAAACTGGAGGCGCTTTGCCTGGTCTGCGGTACATGGCAGCTGGGAGCCCTCGCTACCCCTCATCCTATAGCACTGTGTGGGTCACCCCCAGGATGCACCCGCATCTGCCCAGACCACAGCTTTTAAAGTGAATGCCTTGGCCTGGGTCTCTATCTCTGTAGCTCTACACATCTCTAACATTCCGCCTCTGCCCCTGCCTCCACAACCCCACCTAGCCCAAGTCTCAAGTCGCAGGGCGTGGGCGCGGGGCTCCAGGAAGCCAGCTGCTCCCAAAGGCTCGGGATACAGGTGGGTTTGAGCCCTTCTCAGAAGACACTCACCTCTGACTGCAGTGACAGCAGCCCTGGATGGAGGCCAAGGGGCGCTCCCATTCCTCCCTACCCACTCCCCAGTCCCACTCACCTTGGGAGGTAGTTGCCCGAGGACACAGTAGTCACAGCAGTCACGAATATGCTGTGGTTGCCAAGGAGCCAGCTGGATGGGTGTACCCCCAGTAATGACCAAAGGCCAGATAGAGCCAGTGAGTCATGCCCATGCCTCGAAAGATTAGGTAAACAAGGCTCGATGCCAGTGAGATCTCATCTTTTTTTTTTTTGAGACGTTTTTGCTATAGGGCGTGTGTGCTTGCCAGAAAGAGAGAGAGAGATAGAAAGACAGAAAGTGAGAAATCGCCCTCCCAGGGGAGATGGCCACGCCACAATCCCTTCTCCTCCCAGGAACTTGGGCACGCATGCACACGTGCCTGGTGTGAGTTTAAGCCACTGGGTCTAGGATTCGAACTGCAGTCAACTACATGAGAGTTCAGCGACATAGCCATCACACCAACTGCTGGTCCCGTGAGATCTCATCTTTGCCCTGAAATGTGAGGGCGGGCTCGCCTTCTTCCCACACTCTCCTGCACCAGGAGTATTCCTTTCTCTCGAAACCCCCTTCATGAATAGGAGAGGACTTCCTAGTCTTGTCATAGCCTTTGAGTGTCTTAGGAACATTATTTTGTATGGAGTTTATCCCTTTCCACTCCCGCCCCCTAAGATTTCCCAACCAAAACATCATGCATTGGCTGACAGAGGGCACAGACACAGAGCCCTAATCTGGCAGCTGGAACAACCCGGAAGGCGGCAGGCGTGGTGGCTCACAGGGTGATTTCTGACCAGCGGCACGGGTTAGAATCCTTAAAACTGTGACCTTGGGCAAGTTCATTACCCTCGATGCACGTTAGTCTGATGGTACACAGGGACATAGCAAACACGCACCGTGGTTACCTTCACTCATTTCTGTCCCATTTCCTGCTGGAGTAGGTCTTGGGAAAGCAGACACTGTCTTTTCCTCTTGGGTCAGTGTCCAGGAGCTCAGTAAATACGTTTCAGATGAAATAATAGGAGAGGAAAAGAACAGGAAGTCAGGGAAAAGGGCAGGAAACATAAGAGGTGGCAGAACTGGGGGTCCTCTGCTTGGCTGCCCTTGAACGTCCTGGCCAATGAGGCTTTGTCCTTTGTGCAGGACAAGGAAACAGGGTGGCCAGACCTGGTGGTGCCCTGCCTCCCGTCCCCGCCCTGTCTGCAGCCCCATTCAGCTTTAGAACAGCACTCTAAACGACTGAGCAAGAACTGCTCATCACCTCATCACCGGGAACCTGTGTGGCCACTGTTCTGCTGACAGGTAAGGAGAGGTTTTCAGAGCTAAGTGGCAGAGCCCCTGAGCAGTCAGCGTAAGTTCTAACTTCTTGGGGGATATGAAGCGTCAAGGACATACTCCACTTGGAGAGATGGGCAGATTGGTTTCTCTGAATTTTCTGTCCCTGCAGAATAGCTAGAAAGACAACCTGTGAGATAAAAAGGAATGGTACCCTCAGATCACGGATGACATTGAAAACACCATGGAGGGGGACAACTGACCTACTAAAAGATAAACCAGACAAAAAAATACCTTTGTACCATAAGTTCCCAAGTGTAAAGAGAGTTCTTATAAATCGTTTTTTAAAGAACTGTCTTTTTTTTTTTTTTTTTTTGGAGAGGTTTCTGCTATAGGGTGCATTCGCCCCAAAGACAGAGAAAGACAGAGAGATAGAAAGCAAGAAATCAACCCCCCCCGGGGGGGGATGGCCACGCTGTAATCTCTTCTCCTCCATTCTCCTCTCAGGATCTTGAGCATGCACGTGCATGTTCCAGGCATGAGTTTAAGCCGGTCCGGGACTCGAACATGGGAATTCAGTGACATAGCCAATATGCTAACTGCTGGTCCCTTAAAGAACTGTCTTGAAAAAATAATTCTAAAAACAAGAAGAGGCAGTACTTCAAAGGAATATTATGCACAATCAATAAACATTTAAAAATATGTCCTGGAACCAGCAGATGATGTAATTTAATGGTTATGTTGCTGAACTCCCACACAGTCTACCGTGGTTCAAATCCCAGACCTGGCGGCTTAAAACTCAGGCCAGGCGCATGTGCATGCATGCCCAAGATTCCAAGAGAATGGAGGAGAAGGGATTGCAGAGTGGCCATCCCCCTGGGATGTGATTTTTCTCTTTCTGTCTCTCTCTCTCTTTTTCTCTGTCTGGTGAGCTCACACGCCCTCTAGCAAAAAAAAAAAAAAATCTCTAAAATAATAATAAATAAAAGTACATCCAAAATAGGGCCAGCCCTCCATTACCTAGTGGTTAAGAGAACCAGGTACTACATGATCCACCATGTCTGGCCGTGGTGGTTTGAAAAACATGCTGACCATGTGTACGTGTGTGCCCAAGATCCTGATGGGATGGAGAAATGGAGAAGGGATTTTGGTGTTATCATGTCTCACCGGAGAATACTTACTCCCTTCGTTTCTCTCTGGTGAGTGCACACACTCTGTGGCAACTAAAAAAAAAAAAGTGTCCAATCTCATAAACAGTAAAAGAATTAATTTTTAAAAAAGAATTGTTTTATTTATTTATTTATTTATTTATTATTCTGTCACGTGAGTTTTGGCAGAGAAAGAGAGAGAGAAAGAAAGAGAGAGAGAAGGAGAGTGAGAAAGTAAGCCACCAGGTCCAGGACTCAGACTGCAGTCGGCCATGTGGGAATTCCAACACCTTACCACTCTGCCATCTGCTGGCCCTTCAGTAAAAGAATTCATTAAAAGACAACATTGGGACCAGCAGTTGACATAATGGCTATGTCGCTGGACTCCCAAGTAGTTGACCACGGTTCGAGTCCCGGACCCGGTGGCTTAAACTCATGCCGGGCATGTGTGCGTGTGTGTTCAAGATCCCAAGAGAAGAGTGGAGGAGAAGGGATTGTGGCGTCGTCATCCCCCATGTGATTTCTCGCCTTCTATCTCTCTGTCTTTGTCTTTCTGGAGAGCACATGCACCCTGTAGCAAAAAATCTCTCCCCAAAATAAATGAAGATAACAGTGTGTGTGTGTGTGTGTGTGTGTGTGTGTGTGTGTTAATTCTCACATCTATCAGTCAGGTTTCAGCTGCAGATAAGAGAAGTCACTGCAGCTAACTCAAGTAGTTCAGTCTTCATACGGGGAATTAGATGGCTACAATTCTAGGGTGGGAGGTGGAGGGTCTAGACTTAAGTTCTGGAAATGGCCCCCACTTTCAGGATAACACTTAAGAACTGGGCCCCTGCGGGATGCTGCAACTGCTGAGAGAGCGGGGCTACTGTCTTCCACTTGTTGGCTCTGGGGCAAACTACCTTGGGTGACATCTAATGCCAATAAAACTATGCCTCGACTCCCATATTTCACATGATTAAGAATTAGACCCTAGGACTCTGCTTCTGCTGCTGCAGAAAACCAAGTCACCACTAAGTACTAGTTTCGGCTGCGGAGGTGGAGAAGCACAGCCCCAGTGTCCCTTCCATCTTCACACTCTTACACTGGGGAGATGACATGGCATGACACAGGTCATTTGCAAAACTAGGCTATAACGGAGCCTGGGGAATGCGGTCATTGGTCATGGCAAGGGAATGAAACAAGGTTGAGTGAACACATTCTAATTATCTGCCCCCGTAAATGAACGGCAGAAAAAAGCCTGTGTTTGCTTCCTGGGACAAGGAGAGGTAGAATACTCATTTACTGCTGAGTGGTGTCGACAGAAAATAACCAACTCTCGGGACCAGCAGTTAGCATAATGGCTATGTCGCTGAACTCCCATGTAGTCGACTGTGGTTTGCATCCCGGACCCGGTGGCTTAAAACTCACGCCGGGTGCGTGTGCGTGTGTGCCCAAGATCCCGAGAGGAGAATGGAGGAGAAGGGATTGCAGCGTGGCCATCCCCCCTGGGGGGTGATTTCTCACTTTCTGTCTCTCTGTCTCTCTCTGTCTGTCTGGCGAGCACATGTGCCCTATAGCAAAAACCTCTCCAAGAAAAAAAGAAAATAACCAACTCGAAAAACTAATAATTACTGTGGTTTATTTCCAAGCAGAATATGAGTGACCTGGGCCCAGAGAGGAGGCAAAAACATGCCTTTCTCTCGGGGTAATCAAGTACAGGGGTTCCTTTCTGATTTTTTGAGATTGACAGACAAAATTAGTGAAGAGATTTCCATTGGTCTGGCCCAAAGAGGCGGGACATGAGGAAGCGGGGCTTGCAGGTTATAAGTGGGTTCCACAATTCCTAGGTTGGTGATTGGAATGGAAGATCTGTGTCTCAGGAAGAGATCTATGAAAGAAATGCTTAATCCACATCTCAAGGAAAGGAAAGTTCTGTGTCTTGGGAAGAGATAAGCAAAAGAATATACTGTAATCAGTTGAAAATATACATCTCGGGACCAGCAGTTAGCATAATGGCTGTCGCTGAACTCCCATGTAGTTGATCGCGATTCAGGTCCTGGACCCGGTGGCTTAAACTCACACAGGCGTGTGTGTGTGCGTGTCCAATATCCCGAGAGGAGAATGGAGGAGAAGGGATTGCAGCATGGCCATCCCCCCTGGGGGGTGATTTCTCTATTTCTGTCTCTCTGTCTCTCTGGCAAGCGCACGCCCTGTAGCAAAAACCTCTCTAAAAAAAAAAAAAGAAAATATACATTTCAAAGATACTATGCCAGGGACAGGATGTAGGAAGAATTCTGTTAATGGAAAAAATGGTCTATTAATGTTTGTGGGCTTGACTCTCCCAGTCCCTTTTGAAAAGATTTTGGAAAGTAGGAAAAAGCAGTCAGACTTTTTTGTCCTCAGTGGGTGTGTTCCCATGTGTACTTTCTTTTTCTTTCAGTCTTTGTGTTTGTTTCCGCGAAGTGTTTTTCAAGCCACTGGGGCCAGGATTTGAACTAGACAGTCAGCTATGTGGAATCTGGCTTCCTTAACCACTAGATCATGCATGCTTTTTTGTCGATGACTTGACCACATGTGGTAAAAGTTCATTCGGCTCAGAAATTTTACTTCTTGGAATTATTTGTGTGGACAGAAGTCTGACTGCTTTTTCCTATTTTTCCAAAGATCTTTCCAGGGGACCTAGGAGGAGTCATGCCCACAAACATTAATAGATCATTTTTTTCCATTAACAGGATTCT